GGGGGTGAAGCCGAGCAAAAAATGACACAAAGTTTTCAGAGGTTTGAAAATGTCTTTTTACCATTGCCACCTTTCAGTTTGACATCCTATCTTTGACACTGGGAACATCATTCCTGACGATAAGATCACCTAGCCTGTATTCTAATTTTCCATCATTTACGGGTTTGATTGTCGTATGCCAACATTAGAGCACCTTTTCACCTCTCTCTCTCTCTCTCTCTCTCTCTCTCTCTCTCTCTCTCTCTCTCTCTCTCTCTCTCTTTCCCCCTCCCCTTTTTTTAAACGTACAGTGCAGCATAGATGATGCGGCAAGTACAGAAATTCGGGATTTAAGCTAGGGGTTTCGCAAGGGAAAGTTGGAAGCACTCTCGGCGCCCATCGCAAATCAGATCGTTTTGACACTTTTATGGGAATGGTGGTTGAACAAGGCCAAAATCGGCACCGGTAACTAGATCTAGATCTACTGAAAAATTTTTATCTAAAAGGCCGTGTAGTAAGAACCGGTATGTCTTTGACATGTTGTAAAATAACGCATAGACTTTATTTCCATGACATGTGAAAAATCTATTATCTATTATTTATTTGTAGCGGCGAATTTTGCTATTCAAAAGGCTTTTTAATGGCTGCATCGATCGACATGCAGTTTTCGCCAAAAGATTCTTTAAAATATTTTCCAGATCATGACCCCTTTCGTTTTTCTCCTTTTTCTTACAGTTTTGCAGCAAAAAGCTAAATTTCTTTATTCCGCCGATCGTTTTAGTAGGCCGACACTTCTGTCTCTGTAATTTCAGAAAATCCACCAGGTTTGTTTATTTCAAGTTGTACTTCCGTTCAAAAATATCGCGCATTGTCGCGCAATACTGAGCACTATTTTAAATGTGCGACCCGTATAGATCTAGCCTCATGTTTTCTTTTTTTACTTGGTGCTAATTCGACTGTATTCCTTTTGTTAATGCCCATTATCGCTTTTTCTGTACTCCTTTGTCAAATTCTTTTTCTTGCTACTGGGAACAAAAAACACGTTTCTGTTCAACTACGAAAGCAGAATAGTGAATCAATCTGTGCATCTATTATATATTTGGCAACTTGGAAACACGTGTCACTTTTCTCTCAAGATTTATTGCTCCATTCCAGTAGAATGTAAATATAGTAGACCAATGATATTCAGTTGATGTTAATTCACCGATCATTTCTTTCAACGAAAGGGGGCCCAGCTGTAAACTTCATTTCCACATGTCGTGAAAAAATGCCTGCCAGGACCAAAACACTTCTGTAAGAATTGATGGAGACTACAGCGAATGTTTGCAGACTAAAAGTAAAAGAGGAGTGAGGCAAAGATGTGTTCTATCACCAGACCCCTTTAACATACAGTGAAACAATCTTTAGAAACATACAAGAATGTCAGGTCTCAAAGTCAAAGGCAAAAATATCACCCAGCCTGCACAAAGAGATGACATCACATGAGCCCAAGATAGGCTCGGATTTGGACACCATCTGGTATTGGCAGCATGTTCCATTCGGTTTTTGCGTGTGGACGATTGAAAGGGCCCGCATGTGTCGGCCCATGTCCAGCCCGTATCCAGCCCATGCCTAGCCCAGATGTAACCTGTCCGTTTTTGATGAGCCCACATGAGCCCCACATACGCTGCTTTTGTTTTCACACACACGGCACATGCTTTGCATGGTATACAGCTATACCAAACAGAAACATATTAATATGGTTCACTCAATGCTGCCCCATTCCCAGCCCGGATGCATCCCACATGTTTCTGGCAAGGCTATATGGTCCCCATGTCCAGCCCGGATGCATCCCACATGTTTCTGGCAAGGCTATATGGTCCCCATGTCCAGCCCGGATGTTCCTGGCAATCCCACCTGGTCCCCATGGCAACCCCACTTGTTTGTACCCAGAAGACACGAGCATAACGTTGTATGCATTTGTACCAAACATGAACATCTTGTATGCTCGACGCAATCCCATGCCTCACATGTT